GTGCAGCTACAGAAAGGGGCTTGATCCCCGCAGGGGGGCGCCACAGCCCCTCCTCCTAGGGGACGGCTGGGCCAAGGAGGGCGCTGAGGGCAGCACCCCATGGTAGCATTGTTAGCCTGCTCCACACTTGGGCTCAGCCTCCCAAAATCCTGAGCTAGGTTCAAAAGTGAGGTGATTTCGGGTTTAAAAATGCCTGGGTCCTGGGATTTTGGGGTGCACTTCGATCACAACTGAAACATGGGTAGTTTTAAGATGAAAAGCTGAGATGTGTGTGCTAAAATAGCTGTGTAGCGTTCAGAACCTAAGTTACCTAGCACAAAATAACTAGCACAATCTGAGGTGAGAACACACCTTTTTCTTAGTGTGGATAAATGCTAAATTGATTTAAGATTACATGGTTAGCTTAGAGAAACCTGTGCCACTGAGTGAAAAAAAAGTGGGGTTGTATGATGCTAGCCAACTAGTGATAGGATTTTACAATTTCAGTTAACATAGGGAAAGGTGAATTGTACCTTGATAGAGCTGGGCGAAGAGGTGAGTGTGTTCTGAGCACTCCTATCAGCTCATTTTAACATGCACAAATAAACCTTAGTAATAGAGAAGTTTTGCAGGCTGTGTGCAGGTTGAAGTCCCATGAAAAGAAGAATAGCATGGTATCATTCCAGCAGATTGATCTCCACCCTTCACAAGCTCTTTCTGAAACAGCAGAATCTAGAATGAACAAATAAACAAGATTTCATTCTGTCTTCTCAGAATCAGTGCAAGGTGAAAACAGAACAGTTCACAGCCTCGTGTATTTCTGTAGCTGCACTATCAAATGTGTTAATAAAAATCAAGTGGACTTCATAAGCATATGTTTAAATAAATAATAGAAAAATGTAGTGAAGGGACTAATCCTGCATTAATGGGAAGAGGGATTAATTAACCTAATGATTTAGGACTTTTCTATCTCTTAATTTTCATGATTTCATGACATCATAAACCATTCCACAAAGTAACATGCATTTCACCATTCCAAACTTAATTGTATATAGCTTCTCAGGACAAAATACCCTGGATATTGTCCTTGCTGATCTTATGTTTCAGAACAGAATTTCAGATGCCCTTAGCCAAGACACTTTAAAATGCTCTTTGACATGCATATAGGAAAGACATGGTTTTTCTGAGAAAGTTTTATAAGAACATAAGAACGGCCGTACTGGGTCAGACCAAAGGTCCTTCTAGCCCAGTATCCTGTCTACCGACAGTGGCCAGCACCAGGTGCCCCAGAGAGGGTGGACCGAAGACAATGATCAAGCTATTTGTCTCCTGCCATCCCTCTCCAGCCTCTCTTTTTCCCTCCTCCCACCCCTCCCCAGCCTCTGACAAACAGAAGCCAAGGACACCATTTTATCCCCTGGCTAATAGCCTTTTATGGACCTAACCTCCATGAAATTATCTAGCTTCTCTTTAAACTCTATTATAGTCCTAGCCTTCACAGCCTCCTCTGGCAAGGAGTTCCACAGGTTGACTACACGCTGTGTGAAGAAGAACTTTCTTTTATTCGTTTTAAACCTCCTACCCATTCATTTCATTTGGTGACCTCTAGTTCTTCTATTTAGGGAACTAATAAATAACTTTTCTTTATCGGCCCTCTCCACACCACTCATGATTTTATAGACCTCTATCATATCTTTTTCTAAACTGAAAAGTCCCAGTCGCTTTAACCTCTCCTCATATGGGACCCGTTCCAAACCCCTAATCATTTTAGTTGCCCTTTTCTGAACCCTTTCCAAGGCCAAAATATCTTTTTTGAGATGAGGAGACCACATCTGTACACAGTATTCCAGATGTGGGCGTACCATAGTTTTATACAGAGGCAGTAAGATATTCTGGGTTTTATTTTCTATCCCTTTCCTAATAATTCCTAGCATCCTATTTGCCTTTTTGACCGCCGCTGCACACTGTGTGGAAGTTTTCAGAGAACTCTCCACGATAACTCCAAGATCCCTTTCCTGATTTGTCGTAGCCAAATTAGCCCCCATCATACTGTACGTATAGTTGGGGTTATTTTTCCCAATGTGCATTACTTTACACTTATCCACATTAAATTTCATTTGCCATTTTGCTGCCCAATCACTGAGTTTGGTGAGATCATCTTGGAGTCCCTCACAGTCTGCTTCTGTCTTGACTATCCTAAACAGTTTTGTATCATCTGCAAACTTTACTACCTCACTGCTTACCCCTTTCTCCAGATCATTTATGAATATGTTGAAAGGGATTGGTCCCAGGACTGACCCTTGGGGGACACCACTAGTTACCCCTCTCCAATCTGAAAATTTACCATTTATTCCTACCCTTGTTTCCTGTCTTTTAACCAGTTCTCAATCCAAGAAAGGACCTTTCCTCTTATCCCATGGCCATGTTTTTATGTTTTAATCCTCCCAGCAGTACTTAAAGTGAAAGGAGCTAAGAAGCAGTTTTGAGTTTAAAAATAAAAATAAATAAATTGAAATAAATTGTAGATATTGTATGAATTAAATCTCTGAACAGTTCTGAGAATTTACCTTTCAGAGTTTTAGTCTAAAAATCAAAACTTTTCTAAAAAGTGTTAAAAGCAGCTGACTCCTTGTCCTCCTCATTCCTAACTCATGCCCATTTCCCTTCTTTCCCACAAACCCTGGACATGCGCTCTGGGTTCCTTCTCCCTCTGTATATTCTTCTCCCACTAGTAGCTCTTCCCTGTGGATTACTCTGTCCCTGGCAGTCTCCTGTTTCCCCTCCCTCTTCCTGTATTAATAACCTCTGGATTTACCCAATTCTAACTACTTTTCTCTCACAGTGATGTATCCAAATAGATGTAGAATTGCTAGAAACAAGGAAAAGTCAGTATAGTGATAACCCCAGGCTACGTCTAGACTGGCATGATTTTCTGCAAATGCTCTTAATGGAAAAGGTTTTCCGTTAAAAGTATTTGCAGAAAAGAGCATCTAGACTGGCACAGAGTTATCGTTATAACGATGCGCTTTTGCACAAAAGCAGAAGCCCAGAACCATTTTGAAGAGGGCAAATGGGCACCAGCCCTTTCCGGGGCGTGGGCTGGAGCTCCGTTCAGACACGTGCTTAAAGGGGTCTCGCTGGACAGCCGTTTGTCTCCTGCTCCGTGCATTAGGACCTCTGGCTGGGACTGACAGCCCTAGCAGTTTTGGTGGTTGCCCTCTGCCTTTTCAACACCACCTTTTTGCCACCTAGTGCTTTTTCTTCTTTTGTCTGCCATGGAGCCAGGGGTGGCCATGTGCCTGCTCTGGCCACTGCCAGCCATTTTGGAGTGCCTGCAGCTGCTGCTCCAGGCTGCTGCCCTCCTGATCCAGGACCAGGAGGCGCAGATCGCTTTGGACTCCATCACCAGGGAGGCCATGGCATCCCTACCCCACCGTTGAGAGGCCACTGTGGAGACTGGACACCAGTACTGACTGGTGGAACCGGCTGGTCCTTGGGCAATGGGGCGACCAGCAATGGCTCTGGAACTTCCGCATGCGAAAGAGGACGTTCCTGGAGCTGTGTGCCTGGCTTACCACTGCGCCCCAGAGAGCTGCCGCCCGGAGGCGGGCACCCATCCCCATCGACAAGAGGGTCGCCATCGCACTATGGAAGCTGGGCACCCCCGGGCCCCACCGATTGGTGAGGTGCTACACTCCATGCCCGGGGGCAGCCAAGACTCAAGGCTGGGTCACTCAGGGGTTTGGGCCGTCCCTCCATTGCACAGGCCTGCTGGTGGGGGTAGGGGGCCCTGGTGTG